GTTTCTACAACTGGGTTTCTGGCTTTTGGTCACATTTTTTTCCTCTTAAAAGTTGATCCAAATATCTGTTAAACCCAACCTCTTAAACGTTCCAGAATTGTTTTCAGCTCATATAAAAGGCTTTAAACTTCAACCTCTTTAGCTTTAGCCCCACTATGTTTATGACTATTTTTAAATAGGCAGATTTTTGGTTGTTATTGAAAGACACCCAGAAGATCATTTATAAGAACAGAAAGTTGAACTATGGATCTTGAGTCTGGACTTGGGAAAACCCAGATCTGCATCACTAGGCGGGATCGCTTTCCAGCCTTTACTAACTGAAAACCTCCAATGCTCAAGTAGCACAAATGAATGTGTATAGGGCAGTTTACATCCAAGAATCAGAGGCTGCAGAGGAAATCTGTGCAGGCTATCAACACTGAGTGAGAAGAAAGCTGCTTCTTCTGGTTTCTTCTACAGGGACTTCTTAGGATCATTTAGATATTTCACTCTAGAGTGACAAAGACTGCATTAGTACTTAGGAATTAGATATCATACATAGACTTCCATCAGGAAATGTAAATAACCCAAAACTGATAGCTGAAACTATCCTCTACTAGGGTGATGAGTGCCAAGCTCCCTCCTCCCTGCTGGTTCCCTTATATTTTTTGCAACCCTGTAAAAATAATCAATGCCACAGGCAGGGCTCCCAACGTGGAGCACCCTTTGAAGGCTTGGCAGCCCTGGTGCTCCTCAGTGCTTCCATTTCCCCTTCACATGCACTCCTACTTCTTCAATGAAGACAAGGAGCCAGGAAGCAATGTGAGAGCTAAACACAAGACTTGGTTACGGCACAAGGACAGCATTCAAAGGTCTGGTTGCCTATTCCTTTGGCAATGGAGCTATTTGGAAAATTCTTTCAGCCCTACTTCAGTGAAAACTAAAATTAAAACAAATCAGAGGCAGCCTTAGAAGAAAAGGGATAGTATTATGCATTTTTATATAGAGATATTGATACGGACATAGATAGATTTGGTAAAATTTTACATATCCATATTAAACATACGTATGAGTAATCCCTACATAGATGGCCAACACTAACAGAGGGGCATCATTTGTGGCTTCTGCAATTACGGTAGCTATGTATCAACCAAAAAAGCAATAGGACAGTGTAAAGGCACAGAAATGAACATGGAAAAACAGACTGGGAGAAATTCTACCCCTTGACATCTATATTGAAACAGCCTATTGGACACTACCAGCAAGAAACTTAAACTCTATAGAGCAAGAATAAAATCTAAATTCTCGGTTCACAGCATGATATAATCCCCAGTCTGGCACTTCGGCCGACTTCAGAACTGGAAAAATGACATATTCTAAAATCATACATTCAAAGGTAGGAAGGTAGAAATTGAAGATATTCATATGCAAGATAAAAAGTCAAAGTGAATCCTCCAAACTTAAACAATGACAATAGTTTAAAACAGTGTGTGAAAACCTACATACCCTAAGACAAAACCTGGACAAATTGACCTCCTGTCTATGGCCATGACTCATATGGAATAATCTTAAAAAAGAGGAGGGACTTTGACTCTTTTAGAAACTTAGAAAAGTCTCAGGTTCTCTCTTTAGCCACTCACAGCTTGGCCATTCTCCAAATACTAACTGTTTTCCAATTACCAAACTTAGGTGGATGGACTTGAAAAATCTCTGATCATTCTGTCATTAATATGTATTGGGTACCATCTCTGGGCTAGGCACTCAGCAGATGAAGATGAACACACAAATACGAATGCTGTTGCTATGAAGCTCAAAGTTTGTGCTACCTGTTCTGGAGTGGACCATCAGCAATTTGGTTTACAACGAGTCCACAGAACAAGGAAGAAAACCTGGTGAGCTTACAGACCTGACGATCCATCTTCAAAGACAACACAGCAGCAAACTGCTTGTATTTACAAATCCAAGTCTCATTCACTAGTTTGGAATTTAGAAATCACCTCCCCCATGGGAGCAACACCATAAATAATGTTTGCAGGAGTAAGGGGTAGATCTCAGGTCAATCCATAAAGCTTGTGTTGCCCTGCATTCAGTTGTAGTGTGGTGACCTTAAGAGGTTTCTGGGGTTTGTTCCTCTGGGCCCTTCATATCAATAGCATTTAAGGTGTCATTTATATTCTCGAGGTTTCCATTACAGATTGAAGAAGCCAACACTTGAGATAAATCACACACTGCCAGGGATGGGCAAAAAGCTGTGAGCACCTACAGGTGGGCTGGCCATCTTCCTCCTGTCCCATCTGCCTCTAGCATAAGAGAATAAGGAGGGACTTAGACCCTCCCTGAAGATGCTTAGGAAGGCAGGAATTACATTCCTGAATAGCTCATCTGCACGGAAGCTACAAGCCTCTTACGTGGTGCCTAGTCTGGCCAACACTATACACAGTTCATACCGTTGTTACTAAGAAACCGCACCCAATATATTGCCTGGTTATTTTGGGAAGCAAAATAGTATTTTTACATATTCTTCCCTTTTTAAAGACATAGGTTTTTCAGGGGTAATCCCAGCTCTAATAGCATTTAAAGTACATTGACTCACATTAATGTTTAAATAGCATGCTTTATGCAGTTTCATCTGTACTAGATGCATGAACCATTTCCTCATTTCTAGATCCCCAAAGATTATCAACTCAACATCCGACTTACAAAACAATAACCCTAGATCAGGCTCTTTTTGTTCACATCATGCTACAGATAGACATGTAGCTTAAAATAGAACAGTAAGCTATTCTAAAAAAAAAAGTCTCTGAGACAAAATTTCTAAAAATGATTTTATTCGTCTTTAGGAATGAGGGAATAAAACATATAATATGTATAGTAGTTACTGCTGTAGGAAGCCATTTGGGGTTAAGCACACGCCTTCTTATAATTCATTAAGGATGCCCTCAGGTTATACTCAGAAAATGTAGATGCTTTAGTGGTAATCACCCCAAATTATCTAAATGAAATACTGTTTCAGTCTAAGTGCTGGAGTCTCAATATGAAACATAATTTTCTTCTCTGAAAAATAAGAGTCTACGTTTCTTCTCCTCCATTGCCACATTGTAAGGAGTAGGTTGCCATTTGTTGGTAATTCTGTCAGTGGTTTTCCTAAACCAAGGGTAAGAAGAAGCTCCTAAATTTTGCTCCATGGATACACAAAGCATTTGCTGAGTTCCCAGAAGAATCTGGATATATCCTCTCTCCAAAAAGCTCATGAGATGAAATATCTCAAACTAAACCCTTCAAGACTGGAAATTCTACTGCTAGGAGTTGGTAGTCTCCAGTGAAATCTATATATTAGAGACATCAAGTCCAAGTGCCTCTAAGGAAAGCAAGCACCTGATAAACATGAGAACCGCCATATGCCATGGTAGGGAGCAGCATGCTCAGAGCAGCCGTCTAACCTGGGCCTGGGTGCAGCCGAGACATGGGGATCCCAAAAGGTCTGCAAAGCTGTGGGTGAGTTTGGTTTGCAGGGTCTCTCCCAACACCTTGTCACACTCTGAAGGGGATCTGGCAGCCCATATTTACTGTAGAGAACAGTGATTATCTACACTGTTGTGTAGAGAACCCAACAACCAGGGCAAGCAAGATAAGTATCCTCTAGAAACTGTTAGAAATGCCAGTTCTCAGGTGCACTCCAGACATGCTAAAGCAGAAACTCTAGGGGTAGCCCAGGAATCCATGTTTTCTCAAGTCCTGCAGGAGGTTTTGGCACACCGTCAAGTTTGAGAACCACCCCACAGGATGAATTAAAATCACTGTGGGGTCATCCCTCTCCCAAGCCTTATTTATAATTGGATCATGAAAGATCTTTCCTCCCCTGAAAAATCTTCAAGGAACAGCTGGCCAAGGAGGAACCAGGATGAGGTTTCAGGAGTTATTTTAAGTCCCAGTTTACCATCACTCTTCCCTGTTCGTTTCTGGCTTCGAAATGTTCACAGGCACTAACAAAGGGAAAAGAGGAAACATCCGAAATAGATCTGCTCTATCCCAGATGTCAGTGTATGCTGGGCAACCTACTGCTACTGAAACCTTCCCTTCCAAGTAAATAGCAATATTAGCAACATTAACTGTAGTTCTAACAGACCATACAGATAAAGAAAATCCGCCAGACCTATTCTCCAATGCAACTAAGACACCACTAAACCTATTTCCCATTCAGACATTTTTAAATAGCGTTCCCATTTAGATGCTTTTAAATAGTGTCTATCTAAAGGAGACCACACACAATACAACACTAATGTATTTCCCAATACATACTTTTAAACTTCAGAGAAAATGGTTTTAAATCATTGAAACTTAAACCACTAAATCACTGCTCCAAGACACTTTTTATGTAACAAGAAATTTATACAAGTTTTCCTCCTAAAATTAATTTTAAATCCACTAAAATAAAATTCCAGCTGTCTATTTTGGGTCAATATACTGCCTAATTTTTAATCCAGCCCTGATAATTTTTCCACTTAAATTTTTAAAAAGCTATGTGTTCATGAAGCTTCCGTGTACCACCAATAGCTGTTCTTATATTGCTTCATAACACTGTTGTTTAAATTTCAAAGAATGAGGATCTGGAAAGGCAGGAGCAACACCAAAAGTGTACCATTGAAGATTTAGAAAGCAAATGTACAGCAGAATAGACCTTTTCGCACAAAATACACACGTCCAGGCTATCCTACCACCACTGAGTCTCACCTGCCTTTCTGGCGCAAAAGAAACAGCAAGCACTATTTCTTGGCTATATCATTATTAGTCCCTGGTTCTGTCTTCTGGGACAACTGTCCTCATGGAAAAGTGGGTAGTGCTGAGTAATCAACATTATTTTTCTCTGTCTCAATTTGCAGTATCAAAGCCTTGTTGCTATTTTTTAGCCTTAAAACCTAATCATCATAAATCTAGCTGCTTCCTTCTTTAGTGGCAATTAGCATTAGTCATAAGCCAAAAATGATCCACATAAGATGCTAAATAAACACAACCCTTCTTACCTTTCATGCCAAACTTGGAGTGCCTTGCCAACTTAAGCAGAAACAGCATCACCAAAAGGCAAAATCCCACCACAGACGCAATCACCACCACAGCATAGACCTAGAGAAAGGAAGGGAGGGTGGTTATAACCTGTAATCATATGATAGTGTTGATGATGATGATGATACAGGCAGTTCATATTTATTGAATACTTACCACTTGTTCTTATAATAGTCTTGTGTATACCAACTCACTGAATTTTCAACAACCCTATAGCGAAGTATGTAAGACCTATTGTTATGCCTACTTTACAAATGAGAAAACATACGTTAAACCTTGTGAAAATGGTTATCCAATTGGTATTTTAAAAATATTACATCTCTCTCTCCATCTATGAGGTGGGCAGAGACAGAGAGAGAGAGAATATGAAACATGGATGGCAAAATACTGCTGATTTTTCTGTGTGTGTGACAGGGTCTCATTTTGTTGCCCAGGCTGGAGTGCAGTAGTACAATCATAGCTCACTGCAGCCTTGACCTCCAGGACTCAAGGTGTTTTCCCATCTCAGCCTCTTGAGTAGCTAGGACTATAGGTAAACACCACTATACCCAGCTCATTTTAAAATTTTTTGTAGAGACAAGGTTTTGCCATATTGCCCAGGCTGGCCTTGAAATCCTGGGCTCAAGGGATTCTTCCACCTCCGCCTCCCAAAGTTCTAAAATTATAGGCATGAGCCACTGCACCCAGCCTCATAATTTTTGAAGCCGGTAAATAATACAATGGGGTTCATTTTACTATTCTCTCTACTGAAGTGCATGCTTGAAAATTGTCCATAATAAAAAGCTTTTTGTAGGTTATTGTTGCTCTTAGAAGTCAGGATATCCTGGGAATCACTGAGTGGAACTGGAAGGGAGCAGGAGGGTGCTTTTGGGGTGAGTTCCACCTGTGAAAGCCCCTTGGGTTGTACATTTATATATGCATTTTCCTGTATATACAATATAAGCCTGAAAATTTAAGTAAATTTAAAAACTTTAAATTGTCAGGTGTGGATTACATAAGTCAAGAGAGTGGATGCAGATATATTTGAATCCTGTTGCATCCCTGAAGTGGAGATGACAGAGGTACAAATAGAAATGCAATCACTCTGCTACCATAGCTGCTGACTAAGGCATGATACTCCTCTAAGTGTATTGTAATATTTTAGAGCAAAGTGGTAAGCAGCACTGTGTCTCCTTCCAGTCTTACTCAGCCCAAAGACCTGCTTGCAAAAACAATTTGCTTCTCTAAACCAGCAGTTGGCAACCTTTTGCTGTAAAGGTCAGATGGTAAATCCTTCAGGCTTTGCCAATTTTGCAGTCTCTGTTGCAACTAAGGATCCAACTCTGCCAGTGGAGCATGAAAGCAGCCATGGATGATATGTAAACAAATGGCCATAACTTTGTTATAAAACTTTATTTACAATGACAGCAGGTGGACTTGAACATAGATGCTAATGCCTGTTCTGAGACATCTTAGATAGCCATTCTGGCTTAAGAATCTGCGTAACAATTTTTAAGATGGATATTATTATCCCCATGAGTAGTAATCATTAGTGCCACTTGTCCAACATTTCTGGTTTTCTCTGTGTTTCTCTTTGTATGAGGCATTGCCTGGCTTGCTTGTGGTTAGATGGGTTCATGTAACTAGTTGAGACTTGTGTCACTGTCAGGGTGTAGAACTTCACTTCTTGTCCAAGATCTTAGTCTAAGGCAGTGTTTCTAAACCAGGCATGACAATATTGCCATCCAGAAGACACTTGGCCATTTGGGGTTGTCCCAGTGAGGGGGAAGGTAATACTGGCACCTAGTGGGTAGAGGCCAGGCATTATTAAACATCCTACAGTGCCCAGGGCAGCCTCCCAAACAAAGATTATTTATCCCCAAATGCCAGTAGTGCCAAAGTTGAGGAATCCTGCTCTACCTGCTCCACAGTTCTCTTTATCTCCGTCATAAAAAATAAGTGCTAACTTTTAAAAATGTGGCTTCTTCATCAGATTGGTCCTGGCACAAGGACAAGCCTGAACAGAGCTCCTACCAATACATGAAATGAAGCAAGAAAGAAACCTTTGTTGTTTTACGCCCCTAAGATGTGGAGGTTTTGTTACTGCAACAGAGCTTATTCTAACTGATATACCCATCTCATAGGGAGAAGCATTATAGGGTAGAGATTAAAACCATGGGTTCTTCCTGAGTATAAAATCTAGATTTCTCACCTATTAGCTGCATGACTTCAGAATTACTTAACCTCTCTGCATCTCATAATCTTCATGTGTAAGACGGATAATATAATATAATTATTCTACTTTGTAGGTTGTTGTAAATCCTCAATGAGTTAATGTAGATAATGGGTTTGGAAGAGTACTACAATATATAATAAATTAACGTTAGCAATGATGATGATAAAAAAACTAAGAGTTAGAAAAAAAATTAAATAAGCAGCTCACAGTCACACCTCCTGAGCTTGGCAATGGAACTAACTCTGTCCAAGTATAAATCCTGTGACTTACCCACTACATTGCCTCTCCAAAGCATGTGGTTGAGAATGAAGGCAGGAAAATAAAAACATACAGCTAATTCTCTCAGGACACAATATCGGATGTCAGATGAGAACAGCATTAAATAAGTCACAGAGCACAAAAAAACACAATGCCAAGCACTTCACTGGTGTGGAGCAAAGGTACAATCATTCTCTTCTCTGGTATTTCAACTGTGAGTAGATCTCCCCCAAAATGCTTCTGCAAATGTTCGAGTACTCCGTCTCTGCAGTCCATATGAAAACAGAATAGTAGCAACTCCTGCAAAGCTAATTATGGATAAACTTAGCCATTTCACTCAAGCTGACCTCAGGACTTCGGGTATTTTTTTAAATGTTTATTTCTAACTAATGTTTTTATGGGAAAGAGATCACAGTATTTTAGCTATAAGTGTCTTTACTTTGTTATTAAATTTCAGACTTCTATACATAGAAGGAGAATACCTAAATAAACAACATCAAACTCCATTTGATAAATAAGAAAACTGAGATGAAGGAATTAGATGATTTTCCTGGAAAGTCCTCCAACCATGCAGCAGTACCACAGTACAGTGTCTTGCCTGCTTCAGACAGTCCTTAACTGGGATTTAGGAGACCTAGATCCCTCTGTTCACAGGACACCTTGCTTTTACCAGTCATGACAGCTAGAACAGATGCTTTACTTATCCAAGCTTCCACGTCCTCATTAGACAGTAATGCCTGCCCTGGCTTCTCTACCTAGTTATAAAATGTGTAAGTCAATCTAGAAAATGGGAAGTGGGCTCTACTGCTGAAAAGCAGCTAAGGATCTGCAAATGAATACTTACAGCTACTGATGCCATTCTAAATTCAAATCCTTTAATAAACAAGGATGCCTGTGACAATGAAAAGAATCATTTCCTCAAAATCAGATTGTTTGATAATTACAGAGTTTTGTGTACCGCGCATGTATTGAGGTGGTTTTCACATGGAAGACAAGCATGGGTGAGTTTGTCTGGTTGGTTGTTTGATTGACAGGTTGGTTAGTTACTTGATGGGTTGGTTTTCATCTGAGGATATTTGTTAGGATAGAACAAGGGAGATCTGCCCTCTCCTGCAAATTCAATGAAATGCTGGAAGAGCACTTGTTGGACTAGAAACATATTTATCTTTTGTATCAGCTTCCTGGCTCTCAAACTCCTCTAATCTAATGATCCTTCCTGTGATCAAGAACTGTTTATATATAAAATATCTGAATCACACATAATTCTAACATTTTCTTTAAATTCTACAAAACACAATATTGTACCTCTCACACAGATTTTAGGAGCTTCAAGCAAAGTCATAACATACAAACTTACTGATCTTGCCTTCCAACAAAAATACTATAGATAGTTCGAACGTCATGGAGATAATGCCAATCAGGTTCCTAAATTTATCATTTGTATTAAAAAAAAAACAGAAAACTAAAGTCAACATATAATTTTGTGTAATTGGGATATGTATACACCTACAGGCTTAATACATGCTGTTTAGATTTCTTACAGAAATAAGTCTCTTACACAAAGAAATATTAAGTGGATTGGCATGGAATTAAAAACTAAAATGATTGCATAAGGCAGGAAGCAAATACCATTCCCCAGTTGACTTACCATGGTATTTGTTCTTGCTATTTCAATGTAATGCATATAGTCATCTATGGAAGCATGTGTCTTTGCATGTATATGTGTGTGCACAGGTATGAAGCATACCTCTATACTAGGTATGCATAAAGTTTCAATTGCATTGCATCTGTTTATGCATCTTCCATTTTTACTCCCAAGGCCTTGGTTCAAGTATATATCACATGTCTTTAATGCTCCACCAAACCCCTAATGGATCATTCTACTTCCAGTCCCTCTGTCCTATACTGTTCACTGCAAGTCTCGTTAGTCTGCAAAATGTACTGGGTGCCTATTAGGTGTCAAGCGGTATTCTGAGGGCTTGAGGAAACAGCTGTGAAAAAAACTGACCAGGTTGCCCCTATTAAGAGTCTTACTACAGAATCTAGAGAAGACAAAAAATACATTAAACTGCTCCAAAGAAAATGGAAGGGTACAATGGCTGCCTGCTGGTCACCTAGCTGAAGCCACATGATGGGCATCAGGAAGCAAATGCCTGAGAGGGGAGGACCACAAATGCAAAGAGCAGGCCTGGAGCACTGGAGAGAGCATGAAAAAGCCGGGTGGCAAGCAGTGAGAAGAGCTTGGGAAATGAAGTCAAAAAGCTGGGGAAAGACAAGGTCCCCCAGGGCTCATAGGCCACCATGAACAGTGTGGCTTTCATATGAAAAGCTGTTTTTTTTGTTTTGTTTTGTTTTGTTTTTTTCAGAAGGAGCCTTGCTTTGTCGCCAGGCGCCAGGCTGGAGTGCAATGGCACAATCTCAGCTCAGTGCAACCTCCGTCTCCCGGGTTCAAGTGCAACCTCCTGCCTAAGCCTCCTGAGTAGCTGGGACTACAGGCGCACGCCACCACTCCCAGCTAATTTTTGTATTTTAGTAGAGACAAGGTTTCACCATGCTGGCCAGGATGGTCTTGATCTCTTTACCTCGTGATCCACCCTCCTTGGCCTCCCAAAGTGCTGGGATTACAGTTGTGAGCCACCATGCCCAGCCCCATATGAAAAGCTTTACTGCAAATGCAGTAAAAGGACTCTGAGAATTATAACAAAAAAAGTGATCTGATCTGTGCTTTACAAAGATCATTCTGGCTGCTGTGTGGAGAAAGACCAGAAAACAAAACGGTGGGAGAGGGAGATTGGTTAGGAGGCTGTGTGGTCATGCAGGAAAGAACAACTGAGGCAAACTTTCTCTGTAAAGGGCCAGAAGTAAATATTTTCCACTTTGCAGGCCATATGGTCTCTGCTGCAACCACTCCATCCACCAGCAGAGCACAAGAGCAGCCACAGACAGTATATAAGTGAACACGAGTTACTGTATTCCAGTAAAACTCTATTCGTGGACAATAAAATTTTAATTTCACAAAACTTTCATGTGTTATGAAACATCATTCTTCTTTTGTTGTTTTAAGCCACTTAGAAGGTAGAAACCATTCTTAGCCTGCAAACCATAGAAAAACAGGTGGTGAGCTGGACTTGGTCAAGTTTGCCAACCTCTGGGTTAGCCCGTGACCATGGCAGTGGAGGTGAAGAGATACAGACATATTTGGGATTTATATGGAGGTAGAGCTCACAGGAAGCGCTGTGTGCATATGACATCGAGGAAAAGAAACAAGTGGAGGAAACTGTTTGGTTCAAACTAGAGCAACTGACAGACCAGTCCCATCATAGACCCCTGGGATCTTGTGACTTCCCTATTCAAAGGCTCTTCATTGCATCATACATCTACACACCTGAGACTCTGTGTCAAGACCTACAACATGGCCACAATCTACAGCTCCAACCCTGCCGTCCTGCACACGCCTTACCTTCCAAGTAAGCGCCTTCACTGTGTTTCGCCATCTACAAGCTCCTGTTCACATGCCCCCAAATGCCTTTCCCTTCCATTCCTGTATGTCCAAATCCCAACCCTCCTGCACAGGCCATGCAAAAAATCACTTGCCCCACAAAGGTTCCTCTGAGTGTCCCAGCTGCAAGGAACAAAACACCTGCTCCTCCACTTCTATCTTTGTACCGTGTTGCTCTGCTTCTGTTTGTATTTGAGATGCTAATATTCACTTCTAGGATCTCTGATGTATTCTAAATAATGAATCTTAATTTCATTCATATTATTGTATCCCCTCCACTGCCTGTCCCTTCCATAAGCTACTACATCTGGTAAGCAGTCAAACTTTTACTAAGAGTTTAAGGAGACAGGTATGAAGGTGTAGTCCATGAATTATAAAACCAGTTTCCTGCTCTTCTAGTGATACCCTTCTAAAGCACAGATAATTGAAATAGCAGCCACTAACATCTAAAAGTGGTGCACAAAAGCAGGAAGTAAGTCAAAGGCCATATAACACCTGTATCACTTTTTTAAAGCATTTTTATTAATTCCTCCCACCTTTAACACCCTATTTACATACGAACAATAAAAATGTCTTATCAAAGCAGCTACATTCCTCTAACATGGAAGCATCCAAAATGCTCAAAGCCAATTCAGACACCTATTTATTCCACTCACCGAGAGATGTTCCCGACCGGTTTTATCAGTGACGTCTGTGGAAGGGATTTCATTACTTCTGTTCGTGGTATCCCCGACGTCATTTGCTGCAGTTCCATAATCTTAAGTGGGAAAAAAGGGAAAGAGAAAGAGCATGAAGCTGTCATTAGGCTGCCAACAAACACAAGGCCACAGTAAGAGCCAGAACAAAGCAAGACAAAGCACAAAGATTCCAAACCCCCGACAGCCTGGCTGTGGAGGGACGTGACCGGGCTGCTGAGTTCAATCCACAGCTGAGCTGAGATTGCACAACGCCCACATTTTATTCAACCCAGAACTTTACATCATTGTCTTGTTAGTCAGCCCTAAACCTGGTTCAGGGATTTTTCTTTGCACATAAGCATATATCTGTTTATGGATGGCATATTTGAAACAAGTATGACAGGGTATCGATCATCTAAGAGTCATAGACTTATAGACCTGGAAAGGTCTTTAGAGACATTACACAACTGCCCATTTCACAGCTGAAGAATATCAGTGAAGGAAAGTTAAATAACTAGGAGAAGGCAAGAAGATGGCAGAACCCACACGTGACCCCAGACTTGAAATGAGCAACACAGATTCCCAGGGTAGGTGCAACTTATTTGCACCAAGGGCAGAGACATAAGAGGAGACGTGGAAAAAGCATCATTATGAAACTTGGATCCACATGTCAACTTTTTTGAAGAGTTCTGAAGTGCCAATATCTCAGTTTCAGAATGATTAAAAGGTAGACCCGCACAGTACTTAGCATTGTTAACACTGTGTTCTCATTTCACCAAGTCACAAATGCAGTTGCTGCCTTCTGGATCAATTTTAGTCTACATGGGTCAGGATAGAAATAATAACCGATTTTTTTTCAGGGGTAGTCAAAGTTTTCATGAGCAATATCACATACAAAAGGTCTCAGAAAACTCTTGGCAAACTTATTGCAAACAATGTGGTTTATGATGCTTGTATTTTAATTCTCAATAGGTACACTGCCTTCAACCTTGTTAATGCTGCCCCAGCTAAACTTCTTCAGGTAGAATCATCAGACTGGCCTCGGGGCAATCAATTTAAATTGTATTTTTATTAGCAAAGTATCCCTTTGTGAATAAAAAATAACAGAAAAAAATCTATTTTCTATGTGTTTGATGTTTCATTCTTAATGCTAAAACTACATTCTCACCATTTTCCTTTTGAATATCTTAAAACTTACTGATTTTAAACACTAACGGATATCATTTATATGTCTAGTTTTCTCTCTTCATATTGTAGCCAACTACACCTGCAAAATTTAAATCATTCAAGTGTCTATAGTTTAATATTATGACATTTTGGCCCAAAGATCCAAAGTGAGATCTGAGGGTAACAGGAAGATGACATTCTTAAAGTCTTTAAGTAACTGGGAAAGGGTCAAAAATATAATTTTAAGATGTAAAAACCACTTCAAACATATTTCTCTATGAAACAATTTGAGGCATTCTTCCTTTAAACTGTATCAGGACAAATACAAACAAAAACAACACACAAATCATGTGGAAAAAAATCAACCAAACCACAGCTTGGAAGAAATGCTTAACATGCACAAGCAGGTAAAGACAACAGTTAAAATTAGCTCAAGTTAAATACACAGACATACAATAAACATTCAGGCAGGCTCATTTTATAGAAAAAAAATCAATCACTACATAAATGTAAAATTAAAGAACAGAATATTTTATAGAAAAATATATAAATATAATATTTTATTCAATCTTTTAATCATTACTAAATTTCAAGCCAAGTCTTGAAATGTAGCCTGCCACGTCTCCAAACAGTGGCTTCCTGGCTTGGAAATCTGTTAAATATGGGTTTTCATGCCTAGGGAAACATCCTTGTCATTCAATCAAAACAGCAAAGGAAAGATGAGATATTCCATCAAAAGCTAATATAGACCAGGTGCCCACAATCTCAGCATTTTGGGAGGCTAAGGCAGGCTGATCACCTGAGGTCAGGGGTTTGAGACTAGCCTGGGAAACATGGTGAAACCCTGCCTCTACTGAAAATACAAAAATTAGCTGGGTGTGGTGGCAGGTGCCTGTAATCCCAGCTACTCGGGAGGCTGAGGCAGGAGAATCACTTGAACTCACGAGGCAGAGGTTGCAGTGAGCAGAGATCATGCCACTGTCCTTTGATTTCTTTCCTTTCACATTCCTGAGAAAATCTCATTTTTTTTTCAAGGGGTTTAAGCCTATTCACCTCCAGGGAAGCTGACTTAAATTCTGGGGGTGAATTTAGTTACTGAAAGGTTAATCCATTCCTCTTGTCAGTAATAAGAGCAAGAACGGACTACCAGCCAACCAATCAGGTCTTGAACTGGATACAAAGAGGGCTTGTCTCTTGTCTCTCGGGAAGTCCTCTTTCTTCTGGGACACCTTCAGAAGCACTTTCCTTTCTCCCATTCATGTGAATGGCAGCAGATCCCCCCACCCCCAACACTCTCTTGTAACCATAAGGGGACCAGCCTTCAGTGAAGCTGGCATGGTGGGCAGAAAAAGTGTTGAATGAAGAGAACTTGGGTCCCTGATAAATGGTGGAGCTCTGCTATAAGCAACCCTAAATTAAGCCCTACCTTTGAGGTTCTTGTCTGTGAGCCAAATGCCTTCATTATACAAGAAGCATCATTTTGAATTGGCTTTACTGTCATAGCCAGAAACTGATATACCTCCCTTTTCTTGGTAGCCATGGCTTTTAAACAGGTAATTAGTTCCCAATTAAGGAAATAACAATGTCTGTTACAGCCAATGCGATGGATTTACTACTTCCAAGAACCGAGTATAAGAGAGAAAATGCTATTTACAGGCACTGTAAATGTCAAGGGAAAATGGCCATCAATACTGAATGATTTTTGAAATATTATTTTGGCCTATGTAATGCTTAAAGTGTATATTTAACTGAGCTTAGAAATCTTCTTTCAGCTGATTTATTCCACTGCACACAAACATCTTGAGAAAAAATACCAAGTAGAAAATATGATAGCTACCTTCATAAATTACATCAGGATAATTCGGGTTTGCACCTAAAAAGCAAAACAGAACAAAGATTTGTAAGTATGCATTTTGGAGTCAAAAATTACTAACCTATGCCAACTAAAATAAACTAAACATACATTGAAGATTTGCAATTTAATAAACTGCTTTTACATGACAGTTAGACAAATCTTGAAGTTCTTGAGTTGTTTCTCATTAACTCCATTCCCCTCCCCAGTTCTCCAACTTTCATCCCTCCAAAAAAAAATAAAATAAAACCCTGCAGATTGCTTTGAAAAACCTTCAGCAATCAATGAATTATTACCATTTTTCTTTTTTTTTTTTGGTACTGTTTCTATTATACAATTGGCCATTTTCATTGCAGTTTTGGTATTTTTATTCCACAGACAGATAATTTTCATACCACTTTTGCTATTTTCCAGTGGTTTGAGGGTTACTGTCAAGTGCATAACAGGGCCGTTTGCATTCAGGAGCATACTGTTAACCACACTGCATAATGCTATCTAAAGCAAAATTTTAGACTCCACCTAGTCTTCAGGGGAGTTTTTAAGGCTGAAGAAACCTTTTTTTCATTCCCAAACACAACAAAGAAAAATAAAATGTACTCCCTCTATTGAAATCATTGACATATAAGAACTTAATGATCTGCACATTACCCCAGAACCTAAAGTACAATAAAATAAAAGTGGTATGTCCGAGAGAAATATGATAGTTATCAATTTAATTGGGGGATGGCTCTGTAGTCACCAAGATGTTCAGAATATTCTGCTTTAAGGTATTTATGTGAGACTTGCCAAAAACATTTTTTTTAACTCAGCATCAACAAAAGCTGGTAACAAAAACATTTGCTACTTATTCTCCAATCAGCGCTAACTGGGTCTCTACATGAAAGTCTACTTGGAAATAAAATTAAATTTTGTTTTAACATTTAAGTGATTGCAAAATGAATTTCCAAAGCTATTTCCTATGCTTTTAGTCCTCACTTGCCATGTGAGACAGTAAAACTTGCAAACCATAAAGCTTACTCAGTTTTCATTTCACTTCTGAACCCTTAGCAGGAAAATGCCATTAAAGTAAAGTGAAATGAGCCAATTTTCTGTTCATGCATTCCCCGGAGAATAATCAAGGTTAGTCCAAATGAAGAACCAAATAAAAGTGGCCCCGATGTTCAAATTAGAATTCTAATGCATTTCAACTAGAAAAATATCTATTTTAGCATGGAAAAAAATGAAATGAATGGCTGTGTACTTCCATCCAGGAATGCTGCATACTGCTGTATAGTGTATGCTTTGCACAACTCTAGGGGGCACCTTTCATATTGTAGTCCATGTGAAATTGTGCCATGCACATCCTGTACAAGGGTACAGCCACATGTGATGGGAAATTGTGCAGTGCACACCCTGCGCAGCCACATGTGATAGCACTGTAGCAATGTATGCAAAATCTTTGATTCTGGTAAATTTCAATATTTTGAAGAGTTTTATTATCCCAAATACCATTTCAAAGTAATTTTGAGTTACTATATGTGAATATGTCTTGTCATGATTGTTTGTAACTGTTAGAACACTCAGGGAAGAGTCTTGAAGGCTGCCCTGCAGTTTGAGGGGTAACTTAATGAATAAAGCAGCAGCAAGAAGTCCCAGTGGCTTCACTCCTGATGTCACTTGCAGGGGACTCAGTTGTCCTCTGAGGTCCTTTCCCTTTACAAAAGCCCTAGACCAAGTGGTGTCCCCCTTCACAATGGGAACTTACTACTCCTGCTGAAGGAAAGATTCTATAAGCACAAGAGAGCTAGTCATTCTTCAAACTGCTCAGTAATCCATTATTTAGATCTCATTCGTCCCTCTTCCCGATGTGCCTCTCAACAGTCTGAGATTTTCAAATCCAGCCTTCCACGTCATCATAACTGTATATTTGTCTTGCAGGAAGGTGATACCTACTCTATCTCACAATTCACAGGTCACTGACTTAGTTTATAATTTTTAAATATTTGGATACAAGTGTGGTTCTTCATTTGCAGTAGGGTGGCCAACCATCCCAGACTGCCAGGGACTAAGGGGCTTCCTCAGACAATGGGCTTACAAGTTTAAAAACTGAGACTATCCCAGCCAAATCCCTTCCATCTGCCCAGGACTGAGGGCTTTTTCTGGCTGTGGGGCTTTCACTGATTACCCTGGGAAGAGTTGGTCACTGATTTGTTCTCAGGCCCTCACGAACCCCCACATATGTGAGAGAAGGGCCTGTAGTCACCATCACTTGTACACCTACCACTCCATAAGAAAGTTAAAAGACTGAGGGTTCAGAGCTAGATTTATCTCAGCCACACATTTAAACTGTCTCAGTGACTATGAATGACATCCGGGTTTAATATGCTGTGTTGCAGAACGGGAACACCCATACACACTACCCACACAAAGCCCCTAGGAAGATCCAAGAACATCAAATCTATTGATGTCAGGTATGGAATGTCAGGTAACAAATGTCAGGTATGGAAAAATGGGATTTGGGGTCCAATTGTAAATAAAGACGTTAACCCATAATCTAAAAAGTAGGTCAGGGCCGGGAGTGGTGACTCATACCTGTAATCCCAGCACTTTGAGAGGCCGAGGCAGTCAGATCACCTTAGCTCAGGAGTTCAAGACCAGTCTGGACAACATGGTGAAACCCCATCTCTACTAAAAATACAGAAATTAGCCAAGCGTGGTGGCGCCTGCCTGTAGTCCCAGCTACTCTGGAGGCTAAACCCCGAGAATTGTTTGAACCCGGGAGTGGTTGCAGTGAGCTGAGATCACACCACTGCACCCCAGCCTGGGCAACAAAGTGAGACTCAATGAATACATTAATTAATAGAATTTAATTAGATAAAAAAATAGGTGAGTGTTCATCTAGACTTAGGATTCATATCAGTGGATGCCTTTCCTACCAAGTTCACCAGCAAATCTGTTAGGCCGTGTCTAAACTTTGTGGAAAGCACTATTTTTTCTTAACTTCATTCCCCCAGTTGAATGACAAGTACTGTCACTTTACTTTTGTCCATAGCAGCCAAATTTAGGGTAAGACTACAAAACTCTTGGAAAGACAACATGAGAAAACTGTAACAGCTGTTTTTATTTCTCCCGAGCATACTGCACTACGTCTGACAAGGGTCTACCCACCACAACAAATAAACTCCTCTCAGTATACAAAGGTTTAGGAAGACTGGCACATGGCAGGATGCACAGACGTAATGTTTATGAAAAGCAAGGGTCACATTACTCCAGCTGACCCCAGCTCATCAAGTATTTCGCTTCTAACAACTTCCCAGTTTAGCAAAACCTTCCATGATATTTACATTCCAACAGTAAGGTCATTATTACCATCATTTTTAATGCAGACAGAAAAACATATACCACTTCCTTTTTATACTTCCGGCAATGGTCATTTCTGAAAATGTCTTGCATTTTTAAGTCTAATTTCGAAATGGTTCCTTCATTACATACTGTTGCACACTGTTAAATGCTAAAGTTAGGAACCCCTGCTTGTGATATGTAGGACTAAAAGGTCACTGAGAAAAGACAAACACTAGCTATGGAAAAAAAATCCAAGGAAAAGAGAATGAATGAAAGACAAATAAGCTGTATCTGACTTGAGCCATGCCCTGAAAACGGGGTTTGGAAAGGGTTATTATGATTCCTTGGGTGCTATTCTAGTAGCGCTCATCAAATCAGAAATCTCAGATTTAAGTAGGGAGAGGCAGCATCAAGCCCTACAGCTTCATGTTGGGAGTCAGTGGAATAAAATAATGAAATCCAGGAACTCTGTTCACCCACTGGAGTTCCAAATAAGCAGCAGACTGACCCCCACAGCTCACTGGGGTATAAAAGCTGCAACTCCTCCCCAGCTGAAAGAGGTTGAGGGCCAAGTACCAACGTCTGCTCATCTGATGGTCAAATCCTGTTTTCTGAAGAATGAGTTGAGCATCCTAAGGTGCCATACTCCCCTTCACTTTGTTCTTGACCTAAGGAATGTTGTCAAGAATTACAGGAAGGGAGTAGACAGTCCATGGTGCAGCCTGAAGTGACCCGAGTGGGCTACTGAGGATGGAGAGAGAGGGATGAGGGTTGGGCCAAAAGACTGCCTATTGGATACCATGCTCACTACCTGGGTGACAGGTTCAGTCATACCCCAAACCTCAGCATCACATAATAGACCTATGTAACAAATCTGCACATGTACCCCCTGATTCTAAAATACAAGTTGAAAAAATAATAAAAGAACAGTAATGACTGTAATCACAGCCACAGCCGCACTCCTGACAAAGCTTCCAGGGAGCTAGTGAGGTCTGCAGTAACAAGAGACAAATGAGCCCTGAGGGCATTTGGGCTTCCAGGCATCAAAGATGGAATCACTTTCTTCTTTCCTCAACAGCATCAAACCCAAGCACTATACCATCCTCCTAATTCCATGCAAAATCACCTCAAATAGGGCCTTTTTATTTCCATCTTTTAAACTCACTTATAGCTCATGAATAATCTTATGCTTTATGTAAATCTTGAAGAGAGAGAAAACATCTTTATGACATTTCAACTGTTAAGACTCTACAGTTAAAGGATAAAAAAATAAATTGTGGGAAGAGAAGTAGCTGACAGTAGGGTTCATTTTCCATTCTGCTACCAAGATAAAAAATAATGGGGAGGCCAGGAAGACACATCTGTTTCCTTCCTTTAAACTTTTAGTCTCCCTCCAGTGCTCTACCAAAAAAAAAAAAAAAAAAGGAAAGAGAAAAAAAAAAAGAAAAGACTTTTGTATACATTCTATTTGCAGACTCTATTTAATGTGATCATGTGATCTTGAAAAATATTTCAAAGAATTCCATATGATAAGTCAATTACAAAAGATTTGTTCTATTCAAATAAACTGTCCTTGCTTTGTCGACAGTGTTTTCTCACTCACGGGGGGATCAGCCTTTTGATTTTCAGGTTCTCCTCTTCACTTTCGGAAGGGCAGGCTGAACTCAAGGCCTGAAATTGGCATTGCAGTATCTGGATTT